CTTCCATACAAATCGGTGTATATAATTAAACTTCCAACTTATAATTAATACTATGCAACATTTAAATACTATTTGATTGCGTGACTAGGAAGAATCGTGGTCGATGAAATAACATACAACGATGGTTGTTTTTTTCCCAAACGACGACTTCATTCTTTTCTTTCTTGTTGTTGGTTGTGTGTCGTTGCATCGTAGCCGCGATCATTTAATATATGTATGCTTCTGCTGACGATGAAAAATGAATTGATTGATTTTCTTCTTACACGTACATACTGCACGAAGAATTTTATTGTTATGTGTGTTGTTCTTATTATATTATTTATTTAAAATAATGAGATTTACGTGCACAACGTAAACATATATATATCAACGTATCACTGAATTATTCTTCGTACATTTATACGTATTAATCGATTTTTCAAGTGAACAACGAATCGGATAGTTCCCCCTTTTCTCTCTTTTTTTTTTTTTTTAAATATCAACTTTAACTATCTCGATTCTTAAATCGGAGGTAAAAAAGAGGACAAATTTGACCACGCTAACGATCTAAAAAATTTGACGTTCATCGTCGTACATAATGCATCATCATCGTTGGTATATTATTGTAGTTGTTACGTTTATTTATTTAATTATTCTCTTTTTTTCGAATTATTGCACGAGTCTCTAAACGAAAAGATCTCCATTTTTGTCCTCGACAAATAATTGATAATTGACAAAAAATTGACGAAAGTTTTTTTTTTTCTTTTTTCGTATCGATCGATCACGTGAATTTTTCGTAGAGATAGATATATGCATCTTTCGTTTGGCCTCCTTGTTGTTAGTTAATCCGTATAATACGTAGAACACAAATATTTGTTTATTGGTTGGAACGGATCGAAAAATAGAAAACGGAACTGCATTGAAACAGCTTAATTTTCTTTTTTCTTTAAGGAAATATGATCATAATGAGTGTATTTTATGCAAATAGTAGCGATTAAGGTAAAAATATTATACGTATTTACGTATATAAACAAAGGATCGAGATAACAGTCGCTTTCTTCAAAATAATTCTAAACAAATTATATTTATTTTATTTTTGCATTTTTTCTATACTTTTATTCGATTTTGTGCAATATGCTCTCGATGCAGAAAAAGAAAAATGTTTAACAACAATACCGTTGTCATAATAATTGCATATTATTGCACGAAGAAAATAATTACTAAAATAAACGAATCTCTGAGGGGAAAGCAACTTGTATCTCATTCTGTATATCTTTTTTTTTCACATTCTTATCTTTCAATAATAAATATTACTTACACTTAACAGATACACAAAAGTGTTTATAATCAAATCAACCAAAAATCAAAAAATATTGTGCGCCGAAAGGAACCTGTCTTTCGAACATTCCGACAAAATGAACAAAAAAAAACATACGAACTTTCAAGGAGTTCTTTTTACAAATGGGAATCTCATAGAATATTTCGGATAGGTGCATAAGATGATTGTATCGCTATCGTTTGTTGTTCGATAAATACGAAGGAATATTTGTTTCATAACGGTGAATTCAAACGCGTTTTTATAGGGGTTGCATACGAAAAACACATTCGCGCGTTTTAAGTCATGGCTCCGAATTATTCATTCTTAAAACAAAAGTTCGCTTTTATACACAAATCATATTATTGCTTTTATAGAAATAATTTCAATAAACGGAAAAAAAATCATAAATGTTGACAACACAGTCAATGTTTCTTCTTCCCTTTTCTAATTTCCTTTTTTTTTAAACTGAAATTATTTTTGCAAAAGCAATTGAAAAAGATTGAGATTTTCTTTTAAAATATATTTTGTTTTGTTATATCCAGAAAGTCTCAATCCTTTTCTTTTCCTTTTTTACAAAGTGGATCAACTTTCTCTACCCCTCTTATAGGTATTTTCAAAAAAAAAAAAAATTAAATCATTAAAAATAAAAATATCAAATATAATACACGAGTCGTGATTTCTTTTTCACTTTGAAATCATCTTAATCGAATTTGACCCATCGTCGAGCCTTTCGTTTCAACATGTTCGTTGAAATTCATTAAATCAGAATTATTTTATCTATTATTAAAAAAGATAAAATACGGGACGAAATTTGAATAAAGCTTTTTTTCTTTCTTCAAAAAATATTTGTTCGCGGTTGGGCGAACTTTTTTTTTTCTTTCTTCATTTTTCTCGTTAATTCAACGCGCATGGCTTAAGAGAAGATCTATGTATGTATGTATGTATATATGTATGTATATACGAATAATTTATGTTACATTTACATAACCATACATACCAATTATATACCGTTTTCAGTGTCGGAAACAGAAAGAAAGAAAAATCAACGAATTTAAGGGACTTGGCTCTCTTTTCTCTTGGCATATTTTTCTTATAACGAACATTGAATGCAATTTTCTCTTGCATTAAATATAAAAAATTAAATACAATAAAAAAGAAAAAAAAAACAAGAAAAAAAATGAACCATTATTTGTAGTCGTTCCACCTTGACTCAATTCTTCCTTCTCGGCACAGATCTTTCACGCCCCATAGTATTATTACTTTTTCTCTTTTTCTGTTTTCCAAACGGGTCAAAAGTTTAGATCGTTTTTCGTATTTCCTCTTTCTTTTTTCGTTCCCATTTTTTTTGTTTTACTTCAATTTGTTTTTTTTCCTCTCTTTTCTTTTCGTATCTTTGTCAATTTTATTAAGGAGAAATGATAATCGAAATTAAATAAGGAAAATGAATATGACTTATTGACGTTAGAAGAATTTCGAAGCTGATTTTTTTCAAAACTTCCAACGATCTCAAACCCGTACACGTTTTTCGAGTCACATATACTCTCATACGTGACCGACAAACGCGTGTTTGAAATATTTTAATTATTAGCGAGCTATCGAAATTCATCACAACATAATTATCTCGTTCTAAAACGCGTAACAACAATCCGTTTTATGCTCGCTCGATGTTTTCTAAACACACGCATGCACACACACGCACGCGTATCACACATACATGCACACTCTTTTTTTCTCTCTTTCTCTCTAAAAAACAAATATCATTTTTATCAACAATATCCATTCGATACGAAGTTTTATATTTAGAATAGAACTCGTCGAATATTTTGGGAACGATCAATAAACTAAAGCAATCTGTTGTGTAAGGAAAAAAGAAAAGGAAATTAAAAAAAAAAGAAATAAGACTTTTCGAGACTCTTTCGCGTATTTAACCTGACAATGAGTATCGTTCGTAAAGAGTTTCATTAAATTATCAATCTTTCGGATAAGTCAATTAGAAGAGTTTTTGAGATAAAGTGAAAAATGATTCATTCGATTCTTCATTAATATCTTCGTGTTGGTTTTGAAGCGTTTGGTAGAAAATTTTTCTTTTATCGATCTTTGCAACAACGTGTTCTCATATCATGTTCTCTATACTATTTACGATAAAATTAAGGCACTTCTACGCTCAGCAAATTGTCGTCAATTTCATTTTTATCGTTTTTTTCCTTCAATTTACTAACTCATTTTCTCTATTTCCTCTATTATCTTTTTTATTTTTTTTATTTTTTTTTTTCTATTGATTTCTCTTTAGAAAATTTCACGGTAGAAAGCATTTATCTCGGACCTTACGCTAAAAGCTTTTTAAAAAAGCGACCGAAGATTAGTATATTACGTTCAGTCGAATGGAAATAAATAAGTCTCGTATTAAAACTGAAAGGGTACCGATAAAAGACCGAACGAGACGTGTCATAATTTTGAAATAGAATTGAAATTTTTTGTAGCAGTTCTATTACGTTCACTTCTCTCTCTCTTCCTAATAAAAAAAAAAAAAAAAAAAAAAACTATTGTTTATGTAATCGTCATTTTTCACTTTGTTATTCTCATTGGATCAAATGCAAATATTTTTTTTCAAGCAACACGATTGCAAATTCGTGTCTCATTGATAGGCAAATACGTAGAAGAGGTATCTGAATATCATCACTTGAACTGATTAAAATGGTAAAAACCATTTTGATAGAAGATTTGAATAAATTTATAGTTAGCAATTCGCCTTACGTACACATCGAGCGGCACAATTGTAGGAGAATTATATGAGAAAATACGCCTGAGTTTCTCTCTCTCTCTCTCTCTCTCTTTCTCTCTTTCTTCACTAATTTACCCACTCTTTCACTCACTCATTCATTGACTCATCCACTCAGTAACTCACTCTCTGACACTTGTCTTCAATTTTCATTCTTACACGCACACACTCTATCTATCTCTCTTGTTCTCTTTCGTTTTTTCTTCCTTTTTTTTTTATCTTTCTCAAAGGACTCCCCGTTTAAACACCGATTAGTTTAGATCGCGGGAGCGACTGAACTAGTCATTACGACTAGTTTGCGGTATGCGCAAGCGCCATGGGCCCAGTGAGCCTGGATCCCTCCTCATTCGGGTACCAGCCCAATTTACAAGAGCCCTGTGCTTCATATTTTCAAGTTTTCTGGTGCACACATACGACTCAGGCAACAAATTCTTTCTTTCTTTCTTTCTTTCTTACTCACTCACTCACTCACTCACTCACTCAACTCACTCACTCACTCACTCACTCACTCACTCACTCACTCACTCACTCACT